AGAGAGAGAGAGAGAGAGAGAGAGAGAGAGAGAGAAAGAGACAGACAGAGAGAGGCTGGCAATTTTTTCCATTGCCAAATCTGATATCGTTGCCATACTTGATATCTTTGCCACATTTGTTATGATTTCAAGACTGTTTGTTTGTTTTTCAATCTTGTCCAATTAGCCAGGATTAATATCTGGCAGCTTTATCGCTAGCAAAGTCAGAATAACCTTCCTGCAGATATACATCACGATGTGTTGACTCGAGTAGACGATCCGATCTGTAAACGATTATCACTTTGAGAGGAAAGGAATAGCTAAATTATGCTTCCGCGTGACTAAGGGCTACGTATCTGTGGATGATGAGTCAACGAATCTTGAGACACATATTTTGTTCTAGATTTTTGTTTTGATAAGTGTTTTACGGCGCTAGCAACTGCCTAAGGTCAAATGAGCGTGCCTAGGACACGAGACAATTATGCCCGGTTGCGGCTGACTCCCACTCTTATCGGTTTTAGGACCATCAAGTGGTCTTTAAAGTACCCAACTTGCACACGGGGCCTCCAAGATTTTTCGCCTTATCCGAGAAGGCTAGGTTACTTGTCAGAGAGAACTCTTAGATTTAAAACACAATTGAGCCTCTACCGTTTGTCAATATCTTTCAAAACCCACTTCATCAGTTTTTGCCTTCTTCCTTAATCTGCTTCTCATCTCAACTCGCCACTGCTCCCTTCCCTCTCTCCCTCCTCCCTCATCCTTTTGAATCTCACCTGCCACCCACATGATGAAGAATTTAAGATGCAATTTCATTTTTATACACTTTGCTCCTGCATTAACTAATCCTTATTAACAATTTTCAGGAAGTGGAACTGTCAACAAATTAACTTAGAAAAAAAATCAAATCAAGCTTTATGAACGTCAAGGTTCCAAGCTTCAAAAGTTTTCAAGGAGGTAGGTAATCATATAACGGTAAAGTGACAATCTCTCTACCACCCCTGTACGTATACCTTAGTTTTTGTGGACGGATTCTTCTTCTTCTTCTTCTTTCTTCTTCTTCTTCTTCTTCTTCTTCTTCTTCTTCTTCTTCTTCTTCTTCTT